AAATGAACGGTCACCACGATCATACAGGTTATTATTTTATATTTTTATATCATAAAATTATTTTACTAAAAGAATTTATAATTTACTTACTACAATCTATTATTAAAAATTCTAAAGTCATTCAGAGGAACAGGAGGGAAGCTACCGATCACAATCTTTGGACCGAAGAATAGCGATTGCAATAGACAATATGGAAATGCATAAAACATTGAAAGGACGAGCTCCTAAGATTTCTCAGGACCTCATATTATTCGGCTCACAACATGATTTATTTCTTCTTGATCCTAAATCAAATCTATCTATTCAGAGTTCATTAAGGAATGTCGTTTGTAAGGGTGATCCAAGAAGAGCGAGATATTTAGACTCAAATGATCGATTAAATATGGTTGAGGTAAATTATCCATATTTTATTTTGTATCCTGTAGTATATAGCTGTTACACATATGTACGTGTTAATTATTTATTCATAATTACGATATAGTGGATTCCTGATCTCTCACTCGCAATAGTTGCAAGTCAGAAAGGAAAGGTTGCATTGGTTAGACTTCTTAAGTAAGTATATTTAATAATACGCACCAATAATAGAAAAATAGTTATTCGTTTATTTACTTGTCCGTTTATTTAAAGAGAAATCAGCATTAAGGGGATTGAACGCTATTATCTTCATGACGAAAAACTCATACCTCAGACTCCTTTACCAAACGCACCATTGATAGGTAAGAAATTGTTTATGTACTTTTTTGATTACTTTCCAAGGCTAATTTTAATCCAACTTAATTAGGAATGTTTGTTGTAAAAAATGACAATTTGCAAGATCCTTCTTTGTATTTTTATAGTCTTTACTTGATATATGCTGACGGTAGTATGTATTGCTACGAAATACGAAGGAGGAATCAAACAAACGATTTAAGGCTAGACAACATTTGGATATAATTTATAATCAATGTGTGTAGTATCAAATATAAAGGTGTGAATTTTGGCATTGCATAATATATTAGTAAATATTATTAAAAGTATATAATAGTTTTTTTAGCATCTGAAATTTCAACTATATGTATCAATTGTCATATCTTAGACTGCCTCGTTTACCACCGATGATTAGAAGAATGGGCGTTTGACCTTTCACTTTTTTTTTTGATTTATCCAAACAATATTAAGGACCGAACAGCCAACAATTGTTAGTGAACGAAACTATATAATATAAATAATCATCAAATTTGGTTCATGAAAGTTATATATTAAAATTTTATTCACATGATTTTCCGACGTCTATTAGCCAATCAAAGATCAGGATCAGGTTTAACGTAAAAAGAAATTCAAAACGTTTATCTCGAAATTTTAGTTTAGTAAACCATCTTTGTAGTCCTAACAAGAATTTCCTTGTACAATTTTGCTATGTCATTGTTTTTTCTTACCTAATCTAAGCTCTAGGCCAATTATAAAAGTTTTTAGCTTAATAACATTTTTCGAGTATCACATGACAGTAAAAATGAAAAGTTTACATCTGTGCCGAATATGTTTCGATTTTATCAGATATGTCTTCCGCGTGCTTTTCTTTTTTCAGGTGCGGGAATCTTTAAACTAACAAGTTATTAATATAGGTTAGATATATGTTATACAAAAACAAAGCAATATAATTGGATAATATAGTTATTAGAATATAAATCAATATTTGGTAAAAAAAAAAAATTTTTTAAGAAAAGTTCTTAATTTACACGTAGTGTATTGTACACGGGTATTAATTTGCAAATTTGTGTAATGTGCAAATCAATATAATTAGTATAAAACAAAAAATTGTGTTGTTTAAGGTTAGAGTGGATTTGGAATAATTACAAAAGATAGTACAGTATATCAAAATTTTGTAAAAAAAATTTTTTTTTGTAGTCAAGGTTAGCCTTTTTGGCTTATTACTTTTATTAGGTATTCAAGAGGTTACTAGTGCCTCCAGAGGTTCTAGACATAGTATATTTTTTGATGAAAATACAATAGACATATGTATAATTTTAGTTATTGCCTATTTAAGAGCTCTGCTATATTACTGTATTATAGTTATCTTTCATATATTATATCTAAGATCTGTCTGTAGATTCTTATTTAAATCCTCTGATTTGAACTTTTCTTATATTACATTTTGATCTAATTTCACCTAGGGAATGAGGTATATAAGTTATTCTATTCTTTCTAATTTATTGCAAATTACTTATAGAATAATCATTTTTAGTATATCCTTAAGCATATCATTTGCTAAAGCAGTTTGATATCTACTATTATAATAATACCTAGTCTTTTTTTAGTACTGTAATTTATACAAGTCTGAAAACAAGCATTTGTTCTATTAATCTAATATACAATGTTTATTAAAATTTGTTTCAAAACATTGTCAATTCTGTCTATTATATTTTTATGTAATAATGCCTATAAGCATTATTTTGAATTTTGGCCTAAATTAAGCTTAATTTAGGCCAAAATTTGAAATTACACCTTTGTGCATTATTATGCGAAAATACGGTATATGTGATTTATTGACAATTACAGATTTAGAAAAACTTTTATTGAACACTATAGCTATAAATTATTAATTAAAAAATTAATAAAGTTTAATAATTTTTTATATAAATAATTTAATCTAGAGTTGGGTGTCTAGGATTATAATATAATATAATATGCATATAATTTAACTCATATCAACATATATATTATACATTGTATAAAACTATATAATATATACTTATTTTATATAATAACCTGTATAATGTGTGAACCAGAGTTTTTTTTAGCCAATGAAATTGTGTATATCAAATATAATATTTAGTGTTAAATAATTTTTAAAATCATATAATTTAAATTAACTAATAAAATTAATTTTTATATTTATTATAAAGGCAGTGTTATTACACAAAGAATCATAATAAAGATGATCAGATCCAACACACAGGGCAGATTATAGCATTCTTTGCGGTTGTGAGAACCGGGCTTAAAATAGCAAGCAACTCTACAGAAGATTATTTGTTCAAATCATTATCAATATCTTTAGACTCCTATGATTTGGATGCATACTATAACAAATACTTATTATATTATAAACTTCCTCTTCTTAAAGGACTTTAAACTCTATAATCCTTCTATTCTTACCTTAATTTTCATATACTATATTTTAAAAAATTTGCTGCTATGTTACTATCTAAAGATAAAACAGAAACACATATTTATCTACCAAATAAAACTAAATTATTACTAAATTATATCCTGCCACTAATATTAGATATATACAACATATCTCTAAATCATATACAAACACATCACC